GCGGCCGCGACGAAACGTTCCGCTATTTAAACCGGAATGTCCGGTATTCAGAAAATTCATATCACAACAAAAATAAAAAGCAGTATTCGGTACAAAACGGTATACCGCCCAGCACTAATGTGAACGCCCACGCAAAAAAGATGGTATCAATTCTGGATATCAGGGCGTTTGAAACAAGACTGAAATAACTGTGCTTTTATTTCTCCTTGTTCTAACTCCTCTTAAGCGACGTCTTTTTTGTCTTTTCAGGATGGCTCCTACCTGGCTGAGTTCCTGCTGGCTAAGGGCTATGAGGTGAGCATAAAGAGTTCCTGCCGTCTTCTCAGAAACACCAGAGCTCTGTCCTTTTGGAGGCTGCTGGACGCATGCAGGGCGACATTCTTTGGATAAGCTGCGTCCAGGCTGTAGGATGATGTAATATGAGAGCTTGGAGATAAACAGACTCACTCTCACTTCACCCTGATAAAACCTCCTTATTCTGCAAAACCTCAGCTTTTACTCCTGTTCARACCGTCTCCAGGGACTTTGTTGGTTTCATGCAGCTGTAATGGTGAGGTCACCAACTTTCACCTGATGTTTCCAGGAGCAAAGTTAACGGCCTTATGGGAGATGTAGTTTGTGKTCAACGCAGCTTTAAAGCAGCTTATTTTAAGATATTTACATCTTTGAAGCTCTCGTGGGCCACATACAATGCTGTGTCGGGCCACATTCTTATGGGATAAATATTGTGCCAGCAGGAATTCAATCTGAATTGCTCAGATTGAATCTGATTGTGCGCAATTTGAAATTGAATGTATTGGTTTGAAAATAAATTTCACTAAATTAAAACTGAATTTAAAGTTTTGAGTTTGAATTAATTTGCTTTGAAACTGTATTTTGGTTTATTAAAAATTCAGTTTGACTACTTTCACTTTCAGTTCCATAATTCAGATTTTTGTGTCACATCCTGGGCTGTGTCCAAAACGACAGGCCGGGTCCTCCGGAGGACCCAGACTACCCTGTCGAGGTGGGCCGGGTCCTTGGTAGACCAGGAAGACCGGAAAAAAAGAGGCTGTGAATTTGGACGGTCTAGCCTCTCCTCCACCCCGGCGTAAGTCATGTCACCTAGCAACCATGACGATGCTAAACAG